CTTCCTCTCTTTACTCTCTCTCTTCCTCTCTTTACTCTCTCTTTTTTAGTAGCTTCTGACTTTCCATGGCCCACAGTCAGAACTAGGCCTTACATAGGTGCCTGTGGAATCTCTTTCAGTCAAGAGAAACCCAGATCCAGATCCCTGTTTCAAGCAGAGAGCCTGGCTCCAGCCTCCCCACAGGGAAGCCAGGGACCTCCCCAGGGGAACCTGGCTGCCCTCCTCCTCCACAGCACTATGAAACTTCGTTAGCTGGAAGAGTCAAATTCTTGGTGTCTCTGCACTAAGAAGAGACCCTCAAGACCCAGGCCCGAGAATGGTTTGCTAAGAACAGATCCCAGCAAGCCAACCCCTGATTCCAGCCGTTGCCCTAAAACTACATCCTTTAAGATGTTTATCTTGCTTTTGAGTACATCTGCCTTCTCCCCTTCCTCCTCTTCCTTTTGTTTTTAACTACACGATTACTGTGTGTTAAAGCATGGTGTCAACCAATCTTAATCAGAAATATCAAATGCCTCATTCTAACCAACTTCTTTCCTAATTCTTCCTTTATCTTCACACCTAACTATGTGTGAAGCCTTTTCTGACCACCTTTACCTGAAATGAACTATCTCAGCCTCCTCTGGTCTGCTATACCCTACTTCTGCCTTCCTTTAGCTTTTACTGAGCAAGAATTTCTTGAGTGTGTGCCACTCAAGTGTGTGCCAAGCCCTCTGTTTGGCACCCTGGTATAAACATGAGAGGTACAAGGCTCCTTCCTCAAGGGACCAAGGGTTTGGTGGTCGAGCTGGACAGGCAAACCATTGTGCTCTAGTCTGCAGATACCCAAGGTCTGGGTGACACAGAGAAGAGAAGGATGTGGTCTATACTGTCTGGGAGTGGCAAGAGGAAGGAGCTGAACCCCACAGGAAGGAGAAGCTTGAGCTGGGTCTTAAGGGAGAGGAGTTTGGTAAGCAGAGAACAGAGGTGAGAACATTCTCGGTTGAGGGAATATCATGCTTAGTGGCTCTGAATTGGTAAGGACTAGGGCCCCTTTGAGAAATGAGAGATGCTGAACCTAGGAGAAGTGAAGAAAGTAATGGGGAGAGAGGACTGAGACTATGAAGCCAAGTGTGCAGGGCCTCACAGGCAACGTTAGGGATCCTGACATTCTCCTAGGGACACCAGGAAGCCCTTTCAGGTTGAAGCAGAGGGCTGGCATGATGAGATTTTCACTAGAAGAGACCAGAGCAGACATGGGGATGGCCAGTTAAAAGACCACTGCAAAAGTCCAGGAAATAAGGACAGCAGCCTAGATGAACTTGGGGAATTCAGGGTGGAGGAAAATAAAGATGACCAAAGTGAGGCCAAATCGATTGGCATTTGTAATTGAGATAAAACAAAGCCCTGATAATTCCAGAGTTTCTAGCCCTGGACAAGCTAACTCCTTCCAAGAACAGTAACATCTCCATAGACCTGAATTGGCAGTGGGGATACAGCAGGCAATTTCCCAGCCGTGATTTCAGGCTGTCCCTGCAGTCCATGTCTTAGGAGGAGTGGCACAGAACCCTGATGAAATTCCTATCACTGCTCTGCCCAGCTATGGATTTTGAAAACGTCTTCAACCTAAATTAAAATTTTCCATTTCCATGGACCAGTTTAAATAAGCATAGAAACTGCTTACTACTTAGCACAGAAACTGGTTACTATCTTACCCTATTTGCCTCTGGATATTTTTTAAAATAAGGGGCTTGCTTAAAGGAATGCAGTCATTCACATTTCTTCATGCCATCCCAAGTGAGTGCTGCAGTGTGGGGTGTGGGAGCTTACCTGGCAGTGACGGATAGGCCCAACCCAGCCATCTGCACACCTGGTCGATAGAAAGTATCTCCAGAACTTGTGCAATTGCATCTGTTCTTCTGCCTACTGCAAGGCGGATGTCATTGTGGTTACATCAAGAATGCACTGTGTTCTGTGAAAAATATCATTGGGGTCACAAAGCCTCCTTGGTGGGTTTGACATGTTGCCTTGTCTTCCCCACAACTCGCAGAGCTAAAAGGCCCCCAAGCTGATTTCCGGGAGACTAAGATGGAACTACTCTATTTTCAAGCAGTACACCCCAAAATCTGGCCATCATCATACTCAGGCGCCTGGTTCCCAAGATCCAAATGTGTGGAGGTTGATTCTAGGCCCCTCAATGCTTCCACCACTGGGCAAGTGTAGTTTCATGTCTAGCCATCTTTACCACCTTCCTGATTGTAGCCTTTGGCCAGTAGGGCTATTTGACACTCCTGATACAGTGCTGGTGGTGCTGAGCAAAATGGCAAACTGCCATCTAGAGCAAGGATTGATGTCTTGGTGGCCTGCCTGGATTTTACTGCTTCCTTGTCTCCTTCATTCATGTGAGCTGAGGGACAGTACTATGTCTATACAGCAAGGGACCCACATACCATGCACACACACACATGCATACATCAATATGCCACTTCTAACCATCAATGCAAAGGTGCTTTCTTCCTCAACTCCCTCATCTTCCATTTGAAAAAGCTGCAGGTACTGGTGCAAGTCCTCAGTGATACAGATACATTGTACCTACCACAGCCTGGATAGCATTGCAATAATGGGCAATTGCCAAATTTGTCCACTAACAGCAGAATTAAATTATGGAACACCCATATAAAATGCACCCATTTATAAGAATGGGGTGGATTTATACCTGCTGAAAGTTCTCCTACTGTGAAACAAGATAGGTTGCAAAAAATGTAGACCTCATACAATCCCATGTGTCTAAGATGATGTATAAAACATCTGTTTATGTATGGATACTATCTGTCTTCCGTGGAGAGCAGATGACAGTGATGATAGTTGAGACAGGGAACTCTCTGTTTGTTATCGCATTGTCTGAACTTTCTCAAGAACATATTACACTCTTGTCTCTTAAAAGACATTAAAATTTTTTCTGAATATAAAATATACCATGTTAGAATAAGCATCTTGGATGCTTTGAGGAACCTAGAAGGAGGTACTGAAATCCAAATAATTAGGGGGGAAAAAAGCCCATCCAGTCCCAGATATGGTGGGTCACACCTATAATCTCAACACTTTGGGAGACCAAGGCGGGGCTGAGTGCTTGATCTCAGACACTGGAGACCAGTCTGGGCAACATGAGTGAAACCCCATCTCTACCAAAAATACAAAAATTTAGCCGGGCATGGTGGTGCACTCCTGTGATCTCAACTACTTGGGAGGCTGAGGTGGGAGGATCACTTAAGCCTGGGAGGTAGAGGTTGCAGTTAGCTGAGATCATGCCACTGCACTCCATCCTGGGAAACAGACCAGACCCCATCTCAAAAAAAAAAAAAAAAAAAAAACAGCAACAACAAAAAAATCCCACCCAACACTTAAATTTGGACCTCACAAGGACAAGGAGAGCACAGTTCAACAAGCACAGCTCAGCCCATGCTGTGTTTCTGGGGATGGAAGACACATCATGAAGTCTGGGGCACAGTCCTGGTCCAGGAGAACTCGTTGGTGGGCCAGACATGAACACAGAATGCTTGGTGGCTTGCCTCTAGGATCAAGTAGTAGCAATGTGAGGTGCAGCCATTAGGGGATTCAAAGTGGAAAGACTCAGAAACCCTGAAGAAATGGGAAGAGGGCATGCCACTGGGGAAAGGTTTCAGGACAGCAACAGACAAAAAAGAAGGATGAGCCTATAGTCCCAGCTACTCAGGAGACTGAGGCGGGAGGATCACTGGAGCTCAGGAGTCCCAAGCTCAGCCTGAGCAAAATAGTGAGACTCCAGCCTTTTTTTTTTTTTTAACGGAAGCAAAAGGAAGAGGACGACACATGTGTGCCAGGGATAGAAGAAGGAAAACCACATCCACCAAACATTCACCCATGTCACCCACACCTCCCTGCAGAGCACCCAGAGCTGAGGGTGAAGGAAATGAGGTGCAAGTGAGACAGCACAGGAGCTGGCTCCAGGGCGTAAGCAGACCGGTATCCCTGTTCTGATAGGGACTGTAAGTGCAAGGATATGAAAGCACAGAGCGCAGTAGCTGGATGACTTCAAGCCTGTGAAGCTGCAGCTGCAGGTGTATGGGAAAGGCAGGGCAGGGGGCTGTGCAGAGGCTGGAAGGAGCCAACACCCTAGGCCTGGTCAACCAAGCTGGGGTTGAGTTTCCATCCAGCAATGCAGACCATGGGAAGCTGCAGGAGTGACGTTGTCAGATCCCTTTTATGAGAATAATAATAATTTTTTTTTTTTTTTTGAGATGGGGTTTTGCTCTTGTTGCCCAGGCTGGGGTGCAATGGCACAATCTTGGCTCACTGCAATCTCCGCCTTCCGAGTTTAAGAGATTCTCCTGCCTCAGCCTCCCACGTAGCTGGGATTATAGGCACCTGCCATCATGCCTGGCTAATTTTGTATTTTTAGTAGAGACGGGGCTTCTCCATGTTGGTTAGGCTGGTTTGGAACTCCCGACCTCAGGTGATCTGCCTGCCTCGTCCTCCCAAAGTGCTGGAATTACAGGGAGAATAATAATTTTTTTTTAACAACGTGGCTGGAAGACAAGTCAGGAGAGAGACTGGTGTGGAGGCTCTTGCAAGGGCCGCAAGAAGAAATGAGGCTGTGTGGTGAGTTTAGCCTCTGGGTGAGAGCCCGGAAGGGTGAGGTCAGCAGCGCCACCCAAGGCTTCAACTGCTGCCGCCCTCATGGAAATCTTCTGGGGGAAGGGAAAGGGCCCTTCCTCGGTGAACAACCGCGGCTGCCCTGCCCGAGTTCCCGAGAAGCGGGCAGGTCGCTAGCTCTTCTTCCTTTTCAGCCCTCAGTGTCCATTTTGCCGATAAAAAGCCCCAAAGTTCAAGAGACCCCTTAAGTGAGGGCAAGGGAAGGGACACCCCCCTCCTTTCCTGCCTGCTCTCACCCTCACTTCTTGAAATCTTTGGTCTCTCTTCACCCACTCTGTCAATCTCACAAGACAGCCATTTCCAAGGACTATTTCCAAGCCCTTTTCCTCATCCCCAAACCCTCAGTTTTCAGCTGTCTCCAGGTGCCCCGCCAGGCTACCTCGACGGCCCCACTCACGGCCCGCAAACTCCTCACCCGGCTGGAGGGCGACAACCGCGAAAAGGAGGGTGACTCTCCTCGGCGGGGGCTTCAGGTGACATCACATCCTCCAAATGCGAAATCAGTCTCTGGGCAGGTCGAAGGGCGCAACTCCCCCGCTCCCCCCGCTCTGCGCCCCACCGGCTCCCGTGCGCCTCTCCTCGCGCCCGAGCTTCGAGCCGAGCCGCGCCGCGTCCTGGGGAGCGCGTCATGGCCTCTCCCGTGACCGCCTTGCTCCTGCCGCTGGCCCTGCTGCTCCGTGAGTTTGCGACCCCCGGGAAGGCAGGGGTGGGGCTGTCGGGGGGGCGCGGGACTTAGCCTCGCTGCCTGCTGCCTGCAGACGCTGCCAGGCCGAGCCGGTTCCGGGTGTCGCCGCTGGATCGGACCTGGAACTTGGGCGACAAGGTGGAGCTGAAGTGCGAGGTGCTGCTGTCCAACCCGTCCTCGGGCTGCTCGTGGCTCTTCCAGAAGCGCGGCGCTGCCGCCAGCCCCACCTTCCTCCTGTACATCTCCCAAACCAAGCCCAAGGTGGCCGATGGGCTGGACGCCCAGCGCTTCTCCGGCAAGAAGATGGGGGACAGCTTCATTCTCACCCTGCGCGACTTCCGCGAGGAGGACCAGGGCTTCTATTTCTGCTCGGCCCTGAGCAACTCCATCATGTACTTCAGCCCCTTCGTGCCGGTCTTCCTGCCAGGTCTGGGCGCGGGCTGCGGCGCCTCTCCACGTGGGGCTTGGGGTTCCCCTCACTTTGTTTTCCACACAGAGGCCCTGCTTTCAAGCCTCCTAGAACACCTGGAAGCGACTTAGATACTGTTCCCATTTCACAGACGGGCAAACTGAGGCTAACCTGCGGCTGACTGGGGACTGGAGATGGCTTTTTAAGTCCGGCTGATCTGGGCTCGAGTTTGGATGCTTGCGCGGTTCTGGGCAAACGACTTAAAATTCTCTGCGCCTCTGTTTGCTCGTGGGTAAAATGCGGACAGCAATCAACCCGCGCTCCAGGGTTGCTGGTTCAGCCCAGGAGAGAGGCCGGGTGCCAGGAAGCGTGTTCCTGCGTTCTGGCCCCGGGCGCCGCGTGCTCAGGGCTGAGCCAGGGCTGAGCACAGGGGTCGGCGAGTATCCCCGAGTCTTCATCCCGTCTCCTCTGCCATCCCTTCTCCCAGAAAACCCGGGGGGAGGCTCCCCCATGGGGAAAGGCGCCCGGGGCCAGGCTGGGTAGGGGCCGGTCCGTAACCCCAGCCTGGACCCCGACCACGCTCTGTTGCTCCTGCAGCGAAGCCCACCACGACGCCAGCGCCGCGACCACCCACACCGGAGCCCACCACCGCGTCGCAGCCCCTGTCCCTGCGTCCACAGGCTTGCCGGCCCCCGGCGGGGGGCGCAGGTGAGACGTGAGGGGTCCCGGGGCGGGGGCGGCACGGACCGCGGGGAGAGCCCATGCCAGGGGCAGCCCTGATATTGTAGGTAGAGTCGGGGGCTGTCCAAGTGGTGGGAAACCGAGACCTGAGGCCAACAGACGTGCCCGGGACGGTGGGCCGGGTCGGGGGATCCTGGGCCCGCTCCTAAATGTTGTTGTCTTTGGTGTCGTCAGTGGACACGAGGGGGCTGGACTTCGCCTGTGATATCTACATCTGGGTGCCCTTGGCCGGGACCTGCGGGGTCCTTCTCCTGTCACTGGTCATCACCGTTTATTGCAATCACAGTAAGTCCCGAGGAATCGCGGCGAGGATGAGTCCACCCAGCTCCCGCCCTCGGCGCTGCTAGCTCCAGGCAGACCTTGCGGGCGGTGGGTTGAGAGATTTCTGGGACTCCCGAGCTGCCCCACAGGTACAGGAGCTTCTTTCCTGGAGACAGAACGCGAGGGAGTCCTTCCTGCTCCTTCTGGCGCTCTTGGAGAGGCTTTGGGAAGGTAAAGCCCTGTTCCCAGAGGCGCTGCAACGGGTGTGTTTGTCAGCGAAGCCCGCAGCTCGCGCACAGGTCGGGACACAGGACAAACGCCCGCTGGGAGGGGCCACTGTGGCCCTGGGTCAAGTGACCATAAGAGTTAGGTCAAAACCACGACCAGTTCACCCTTGGTTCCCTTCCCGCGAGCCGCCCACCCCGCTTTGGGTCCCATGCAGGGGAGGTGCGGGATCAGGTCTACAGGTTCCTCGTGTTCACTCACGTCTGTAGTTGCATTTTTTTTTTCTTTAAATTGATGCTTGAGACGAAGGATGGATGAGAAATCCTTACTTGGGTTTCAAGCGTTATAATCCTCAAAGAAATAGGGGAAAGGAAGGAGAATTCGTAGGGGCAATTCGCTATCTGCCCCATCCAATTTCAGCCCATGATCATTCTGAAATAATTTTTTTTGTAAAACCAAAACACAAAATAAAACAAGCAAAACACCCCGTCTTTGGGGGCTACTGGTGGATGGGGGCACTCACTTTTCCCTTCTTTCTCCTTATCCAGGGAACCGAAGACGTGTTTGCAAATGTCCCCGGTGAGTCTCTTTTGAACCCTCAGCCTGCTCACCTGGGGCAGCCCTGGGGTGGGGTCCTGATTTCTGCAGCAGCAAATAGTGGGAACTTTTCCCAAAGGGAGGTCATGGCCGTGGAGTCCTGGGGCAGGGAGTCAGCTCGTTCAAGAGCAAAGAGGAGCTGAGGCTGGCCTCTGGCCCGCATCCTTGAGAAAAAGGAGGCCTGGGTTAGGCTGGTGCTGAGAGCAGTGTGACTCCAGTAAGTCTCCATCTTATTTGGCCTGGCACTTAAAAAATAAAACAGCAACCTTGTCCCATCTCACAGCTCATTGGCTCAAGGATTAGGAAACCTACCCAAAGTGGCAAAGGCACGATTAAACTCAGATTATCAATAATAATAACCATTTGATGAAAGTTACCATACACGTTACTTGCTTTATAGAATTTTTTTTTTTTTTTTTTTTTTTTTTTTTTTTTTTTTTTTTTTTTTTTTTGAGACGGAGTTTCGCTCTTGTTACCCAGGCTGGAGTGCAATGGCATGATCTCGGCTCACCGCAACCTCCGCCTCCTGGGTTCAGGCAATTCTCCTGCCTCAGCCTCCTGAGTAGCTGGGATTACAGGCACGTGCCACCATGCCCAGCTAATTTTTTGTATTTTTAGTATAGACGGGGTTTCACCATGTTGACCAGGCTGGTCTCGATCTCTTGACCTCGTGATCCACCCGCCTCGGCCTCCCAAAGTGCTGGGATTACAGGCTTGAGCCACCGCGCCCGGCCTATAGATATTTTTTTTAAGTTTTATAACAACTTTAAAGTAGTTATGATCACCTCCATTTTACAGATAAGGACCCAGGCTCAGAACACTTCGTGATTTGTCCAAAGCCATACTGCCTGCAAGTAGTGGAGCCGCAAATTCCAGCCAAGGCTCAGACACCTTCCCGTGGTTGCAGGCTGAAGTGTTAAGGATAACCGACTATGTACACCAGTTCTTTCCAGTAGATGAAATAGTTTACATTTTGTACCTGGAGTTTGCATTTTATACTCCTTTACATTTTTCTGAGGGAATCCAAGTTCAGGACTTCACACATTGTTATTTTTAACAATGGAAATGCAATGAATTTCCAATGCATATGTTATAGGTGATGTACCACGGAAATAAAGACTCTTTAAAAATCATCTGGATGTTGTGGCGCGTGCCTGTAATCCCAACTACTCAGGATGTTGAGGCAGGAGAATCACTTGAACCCGGGAGGCAGATTCAGTGAGCTGAAATCGTGCCACGGCACTCCAGCCTGGGTAACAGAGCACGATTCCATCACATACACAAAAAAGGAGAAAGTTTTTTAGCATTTTTATTATTCGGGGTGCACTTGGGAACTTTTGCAGGAGAATCATCCCTTTTCTCTATCTTTTCTGAAAACTCTCATTTTGAGATGAATAACTGAGAATAAAATTCTGCCTTAAAATACAAAGCTATACAGATTAAACACATCTGGGGAAATTTCACCACCCGAGTTAATATACTTAATGATGACGGCGGGCAGCTCAGCTTCAACGGAGAGGCTTTAGAGGGCTAAGAGTGCAGACATGACACTCATGATGAATTAGCATATTTAGGAGGTGCTAGCCTGGTGCTGAATTAACACACGTTTTTAGCGTAACTTCATTTGGCTGATGGTGGTGATTTGCTGACATCCTCTTCGATCCCTGTGATCCTCGAGGGCTGAGACTCAGGTCAGCGAATGACTTTGATTATCAGCCTTACTCTCAGACCTCTGTGGAGACCCTGACAAGGGCTCCAGGAAGCTAGACTAACTCCCTTTAGATCCTGGCTCAGCCACCCCCTAGATGTGTGAGCTTAGGCAAGTTTAACTTCTCAAGCTCAGAGCCCACCCCAAGGCTGCTGTGAGGATGACATGAGATGTGCACGTGAGGCACTCGGCAGGGTGCTCTGCTGAGGTCGTTCCCCTAGTCCCATGCTGGGGCCCCAGGGGCAGGTTCTCAGATCTTTCAGAGGCTGGGGGTTTGGGAGGCGGGACATGCATGGATGTTGCACGGATGGAGTTCTCGCTACGACGATGGTGGCTTTCCTCTCTTTCAGGCCTGCGGTCAAGTCTGGAGGCAAGCCCAGCCCTTCGGAGAGATACGTCTAACCCTGTGCGACAGCCACTACGTTACTTCACACTGAGATCTTGCCTGTTGAGAGAGCAAGTCCTTCCCTTTCATTTTGTCCAGTCTTCCTCCCTATGTATTCATTCTCGTGATTATTATTTTAGTGGGGGTGAGGTGAGAAAGAATACTTTTTCTTTATGTGTTTGACGGGAAACAAAACTAGGTAAAATCTACAGTACACCACAAGGCTCAAAATACTTTTGGGCGCACATTGGGGTAGCGGGTGGAAAGGGGCAGGCCAGAGCCGCCCGCGGAGCCTGTTCTCAGAATCGTGCTGACAAGAGCGGGAGGCACCCAGCCATCTCAACCTCCTCTCCGCCCATTTTACAAAGGAGGAGGCTGACGCCCAGAGACAATTTGATCAGCGGCACGCAGCAAGCCAGGGTTGGAGCTGGAGCTGGAGGGACCTTGCTTCCCAGCTCAGGACTCTTTCCTTCACACCGTTCAGGGCTTGCTTTCGGAGGCCCCCCTGTCTCAGGGTGAAGTGCTTGAGTCTCCAACTTCAAGGAAACAAGAACTTCTGGATAACCTGGGATACTGTGCCCAGAGCCTCGAGGAGGCAATGAATTAAAGAAGAGAACTGCCTTTGGCAGAGTTCTGTAATGTAGGTGAACAATATCAAACTTTTTAAATATATATAATAAAGCCTAAAATTGTATAGATCTAAAATAAAGTGAAGGCTGATCTTCACCCTGGAAAATGAATCCCTGGGTCGCTAAAGAAAATCTCTGTGAAACCGCTATGTGGAGGCAGAATTGCTGTCTCAGCCCTTGCCTTGCAGAAGGGCCCATGAAAGAGGAGAGGCCACTCCTTTACACATAGAGTCTGAGCATCAGTGAGGTTAAACTAAGGCCCTCTTGAATCTCTAAATTTGAGATACCAGATTCAAACATGCTGTTGGGATCACTGATGACTCTTTACACTTTGTAAAGACAATTGTTGGAGAGCTGCTCACACAGCCCTGGCCTCTGCTCAACGACCAGATGCGCGGATGAGGCAGACCTGACTCTACTCTCTTAAGGAGGCTGAGAGCCCAAGCTGCTGTCCCAAACAATGTCCTTGCTTACCGTATTATACAAGCAATGCCTGCCACCATTAAAGAGAAAAAAACTTAAGTAGATAAGGAAATACGAACCACTCATAATTCCTTCACCTGTTAATATGGTGTACATTTTTCCTGATTACTTTCTATACATACATGTAAAGTATGTCTTTCTTTTTAAAATGGGATGGTACTGTTGCTGTTATAAGTGGCTTTAATGAATAAACATTTGTAGCATCCTCTTTAAACAGTATCCCATTTTGATCGTGTCATCATTTATTTAACTATTACCTGTTGCAGATATCGTTGTTTCTTTAGGAAAAGACCTAAAAGTAAAATTATTTAATCAGTCTCACCCTGAGCCTGCCATTTTCACATCAATCCGAACAGATTAGCTTCACCCTGCATCGCCCTCCTTCCTTTTGTTCTTTCTTGGTAACAGATGCGACGATGCTTCTTTCATAACAAATCACAGAGTCATCTTGTTGTTGAGGTAAAGTCTACGTAGTGAAAATCGCTAAGTTGTAAATGTCCAGTTCGATAACATCATAAAGCAAACACACATCCATGTAACCAGCCCTCTAGAAGTCTGTTGTAAATTTTAAAACCAAGATACTTTCAGAGAACAGAAAGGAAGGGTGGCTTTCCATTCCCTAAATGAAGTATCCTGTGTGTGAAAGTAGAAGAGAAAGCTGAGAAATTTCCCATGAGACAAATTCTCCATGTCTCTCCTCCCTGAGCCCAGTTGATCAGAGCCAGGAGGCGCCTGGCACACTGAGGGCCTGGTCAGGGCAGGGGCCAGGTTTCAAGGCCTCCTGTGGAAACAGGGCCTGGGCTCCGGGCTGCCTCTGGATTCCCTGGGAGGGATGAGGCAGAGCATCTCACAACAGGTCTCTGCCCTTCTCATGGGAGGAACTAGTGAAGTTAACCCTGGAGCACCAATGAATGTCAAAGAATGTGTGCCAGTGCAAAAACAGGAAAAGGGCATTTCTGTCACAAGCAACATTTCCTCTTCAACCTGGAGCTCAAAGTTGGTGATGATGAGTGGTGGAGGAGCCACCCTTGGGAGGCTTCGGAGAGGGCCAAATACTTACTGATTTTTTTTATACCCTCAAAGAAAAACCTGGATTTCACTTGCCACAAGTAAAATGGTAAACAATAATTTGGAAGTTAAAAATGTCAATGTAGGAAAATGCATTCATTAGAGCTAGCCCTCTGGACCAGGAAGAAAATAGAAAACAAATCTGCAGGCCATGCAGGCCTAAAGCACACTCATGGTGGGCTGTGAATTCAGGCTTAGGAATCAGCAGCAACCACAGACATTCAACCTGTTCGTTCTACACACGCAGAAGGAGCACTTCACAGCCAGCCTCGGGTCCAACAATGTTGCATTTGCCAATTGCTAGCCTGAGACATTGGTTCTACGCATCTTCTTATTATGTGCCCATAAATTTTTTTTTGACCCTGAAAAACACAAAGGAGAGAAATGACTCCCTTATTATGCTGGAAACTGGGTATCAGCTGGCTGGAATCCAGCCTCAATGTGGTTCATTTAACATGCATTCAATAAAAACATATCCCATTTGTGGAAGAAAAAAGCCAGAGAGAAATTTGTCATTTCCTTTTCCAGCTGTTCCATTGGTTTTAAGAGAGCCCAGCGTACCTTTGAAAATTCCTCATGAATCTTTATCCAAGTGGGTTAGGGAGAAACCTCCCTTTTCTACCAGCCAGAAACTGCCCCCTTCCTGCCCTGGATCTGTGTGCAAATACTTCTCTGCACACAATTTTATGAACACCTGGGGCAGCACCCCTTAAGCTGCTCCTAAAAGCAGGGTTGAGCAGGATTTCTCCACCGAAGAGAACTAAAGGAGGCCTCAGTAGCACAGTGATTAAATGCAGAGGCTCTAAACCAGCCTCCCGATGCCTGGCACAATGGCTCAGGCCTGTAATCCCAGCACTTTGGGAGGCCAATACAGATGGATTGATTGAGCCCAGGAGTTCGAGACCAGCCTGGGAAACATCGTGAAACCCCATCTCTATGAAACCTACAAAAAAAATTAGCCAGGTATGGTGGTACATGCCTGTAGTCTCATCTACTCAGGAGGATCTCTTGAGCCCAGAAGTTTGAGGCTGCAGAGAGCCGAGACCGTGCCACTGCACTTCAGCCTGCGCAATGGGGCATAACCGTCTCAAACAAAAACAAAATAAACCAGCCTCCTGGCTCTGCTATTTACTTAACTATGTGTTCTCTAGCAAGTGACTTAATGTCTTCATCCCTCAGTTTCCCCACTTATAAAATGGAACTCATAATAGTCCCTACCTCAAAGTACATGAGTTTCTAAATGTTTTCTCAATGGCCTGGAACAGCTCCTGGAACATGGTAAGCAAATAATAAATGTGTGCTAAAAAAATGAACTTGTACTGAGTTTTTCCAAACCAGTGCTACTATATTGATTATACTCTGAATGCAGCTCTGTGAGTCTGATTCTTCCCATTTCTGTTATTCCCCCAAAAAAGTAAACAGTAACCATTCCTGACCAATATATGTTATTAAATATACCCCAGGATCTCAGCACCCCGTGCACAGCAGGGTGACTGCACCTCAGGAAAGCTCTGTCCCAGACAGACTCAGCCCGACAGCACTGTGTCATTTGAAATTCACCTCAGCCTTGAATCCTGAGTGCCACCACCCCACTTTTGCTGTTGATGGCTATGGTCATTAATTCTACAAGGGATCTCTGGCACCATGTTATTTTAGGTAAGTTGGGGTTTCACCATGTTGGCCAGGCTGGTCTCAAGCTCCTAACTTCAAGTGATCCGCCTGCCTCGGCCTCCCAAAGTGCTGGGATTACAGGCGTGAGCCACCGTGCCCGACCACTAAATGTCTTTAAATGGAATGAAAAGGCCAGCCCCAAGTGGAATTCGAGAGAATTTACACAATCCACACAGTGTATCTCATTTAGGTCTCATCAAAACTATGATGTAGGAACTACTGTCATTCTACTTTGCAGATGAGGAAGCAAAAGTGTAGGAAGTTTCTATCACTTATGCTCTGGGCAGCTGACAAAGGGCAGAGGAGGAAAAAAGTGTGCTGTGTTATTTTGCCCTCTCAGCACCTACTGAAGAGCCCTCCATCCCTTCAGACACATCTCACCTCTGAGTGCCAGTTACTATTTCTCCCTTTTCTGCTCCACCTTAGCTGACCATGGTCTGCAAATGTCATTTATATTTTATTGACTTAATAAAACTACCAGTTTATTCAATGTTCATCGTAGGTATCTCATTTAGGTCTCATCAAAACTATGATGCAGGAACTATTATCATTCTATTTTGCAGATGAAGAAGCAAAAGTGTAGGAAGTTTCTATCACTTGCCCGAGAGCACACAATTAGCGTCTGAAAAGATGGTAATGTGCCCAACTGAGACCACGTTCCCACACACGCCTGCAGTCATACGCAGCAAGTAAGTTGCCAGGTGAAGTTTCCAGGAAAGCCTCCTAGAGGGGCTATCTCAACGGAGAAGGTTGCTCTTTCCCCAGCCACTTCCTCCTCCTTCCTGTCTGGAACACAGCTAGGATTACACAAGAGTAAATTTGAGGTCGTATGTTAAGACCATGGAGCAGAAAGGAGTCTAGGTCCCTGATGGTCATGAAGCTACCAAACAAACCCCGTGCAACCTACTCCACAACTGCCACTAAGCCGAGTCCTCAGGGCACACGCTAGGAAGGACAGAGGCCCTCAGCCCCATATTTCCTGAGCCACCCTTGAAAGCTTTCAAGAAAATTTAATAATTTCCTGAGAAATTCCTCTTTAGGGCAGATTAGCTCACTCATCTCAAATATCTAAAGACAACATAGTCTTGTGCTTAAGAATGAAATAAAATCTAAAATGCATTTCTTTTTTTTTTTTTTTTTTTCTTTTTTGAGACGGAGTTTTGCTCTTGTTACCCAGGCTGGAGTGCAATGGCACGATCTCGGCTCACCGCAACCTCCGCCTCCTGGGTTCAAGCAATTCTTCTGCCTCAGCCTCCCGAGTAGCTGGGATAACAGGTGCGTGCCACCATGCCCAGCTAATTTTTGTGTTTTTATTAGAGATGGGGTTTCACCATGTTGACCAGGATGGTCTCAATCTCTTGACCTCGTGATCCACCCGCCTTGGCCTCCCAAAGTGCTGGGATTATAGGCATGAGCCACCATGCTCGGCCCCTAAAATGCATTTCTAATTATTCTGAAGGGGAGAGCTTAGTCTTGAATGATAAGGACATGTCTTTCAAGAAACATTTTTATGTCAGAGGGGAAATGACACACTAGAATCCTTCATTTGACTGGATCCAACACTTGAGCAGTAGCTAAATATTTGTCTTTATTTATTTATTTAGAGGCAGAGTCTCACTCTGTTGCCCAGGCTGGAGCACAGTAGCCCAATCTTGGCTCACCGCAACCTTCACCTCCTGGATTCAAGCAATTCTCCTGAAGAGGGAGACCCAGGCATCTCAGATCAACTTCCCCTTTTCATTCCTAAGACTGTAAACTTATTCTTTTCATTCCTAAGACTGTAAATCGAAGCCCTTTTCATATGTAATTCCTAAGACTGTAAACTGAAACCCTTTTCATATGTAATTCCTAAGACTGTAAACTGAAACCCTTTTCATATGTAATTCCTAAGACTGTAAACTGAGACCCTTTTCATATGTTAAGCTATAAACCTAAGATTCTTCCATGTGTAACATCTAAAGTATAAGCCTATATAAAGAAGGAATCTTCCTTTGTTAGGCGAGCTTGGCTATTAGGCAACTATGCCACCTGGCTCCCGGCCGAATAAACTCCTTCCTCCAATATTTGGTGTCCGAGAGATCTGTTTCCTGCAGCCACTCCTGCTACACTCCTGCCTCAGTCTCCTGAGTAGCTGGGACTACAGGCGCACACCACTGTGCCTGGCTAAGTTTTGTATTTTCAGTAGAGATGGGGTTTCATCATGTTGGCCAAGCTAGTCTCGAACTCCTGACCTCAAGTGATCTGCCCACCTCGGCTTCCCAAAGTGCTGGGATTACAGGCGTGAGCCACTGGGCCCAGCCACTAAATGTCTTTAATAGAGTAAAAAGGCCAGCCCTAAGTGGAATTTGAGAGAATTTTACACAACCCACACAGTGTAGGAGACCAATATAAGGAGACCAGTGAAGTTAGAAATTCATCCTCCTAGAAAACATAGATAATAGAAAGAGTGGGAATACAGTTAAAACGCCAGAGCAAAAAAGCCC